AGGACCTAACGCAGGAAAAGTGGATAACTACTTAGAATGGTGGGATCTTCAAAAGGGATATGACGACCCTATATATGGAAAAAGTGGTGACGATCCGCCTGCCTCAAATGCCGATTAAAAATACTGGCCAAAGCTTTAATCACTTTGGGAAGACGTGCCGGCGGGATCGCCTCTGTCACTTCATAACCATGTCATACACTCGACGCCGCTATATGACCAAGTCTCGAGATGGTACCCGATCTCGAGGACCTCCATCAAAAGAAGATAGGCTCCAAGAAACCATGAAAATCATTACAAGACCAGAGATGGTACCCGATCTCGAAGATCTCCATAAAAGAAGGGGATATGCTCCAAGGAGCCATTGACATAATCCTAAGCCTCGAGATGGTACTTGATCTCGAGGACCTCTCTCAGAAGAAGATAAGCTCTAAAAACCAACTCATATGGGCCCGGCCTCGAGATACCATCTAAACCCGGGTAAGCTTCATCCGAGATCTATTTGCGACGCCTTAAGGCCATCTACACTAAGTTCAAAGCAAGCTTCTAGGTAGCCCGAGCTTGAGCAAAACCCCGCTCGGTGACTGCTCCCGAGAGCCTAATGACTATCCTTATTCTCTGACTTCCAGGCAAATCCCCCCGTCGAGGTCTATCGCGGAGTCTAAAAGGCTAAGTCCCGTGCTGAAAATTCGAAGCCCCTACTCTCATTCAACTCGAAGCCGGGGATCCAGATGGCCTGAGTTTATCAATCCAATCCAGACCCAGTCCAAGGAATCGCAAATGTTTCTATAGGGAATTGTGTTAGTCAATCAAGAGCCAGAAAAATACTTACGCCCAGGCTCGGTATCCGTACCCGTCAGTAGAATCACGCATTCAGATTCTTCGTAAATGCAGGTAAAGGGAAATAAAGCATAAATCAGAGACAAATTGAAGAAACATCTTTTCCACTAATAAACAACAGTTACAAAGCCCACGAGGGGTCCTTATCAGTAGGCGCAATCAGTGCATTTTTGGGAACCGGATCGATGGCAGTATTGTCGCTTTGGAGAATAAGAATTGACAGCACATTGAATGACACTGAAAAGATGAACCGCCGGGACGCCACAGTTATCACAAAGTCTTACGTCATAAGCATGACATCATCATGAAAAGTTCGAAGAGATGGATATCAAAGTCGTTTCTTGTCATTCCACTCTAAGAAACGCGGGGACTATCTGTATGCAGTAAAATCGGAGGGTCCAATTTTTGGCCATTACAATGCCTCGTGAGCAAGCTTTCCAAAGGCTTGAGACTACGGTCGAGATTCATCCTGAGGGGCCATCGGTGTCCAACCTCGAGGCAGCACAAGTTGACGGTTATGGTAGAACAGTGGGAAGTTTCCTAGGCGCACGACTAGGGCTGACAAAACCTAGAGGGCTAGCTCTGACCCGTATCAGGGCATTAAGTGGCTATACCTGCCCATATCTTTGTAATTAATGCTTTTGTACTATGTTCCCCCTCATATATAAAGGGGAATCCTTGTCATTTTGTAGGTATCTGTTGCTCAATGCTAATACACAAGAACATTCTCTCTGCTCTCTAACATATTCTCTTTATTTCACTACTTCATTTATTGCTTATATTCATTGTGTTCTATTTATTGTTCTTCATTTATTGCTTATCACTAATCATAAAGGGCCATCATCATAGCTCTCATAACTGTTATCTCCCTCTCGACTGCCTCGAATCGGCCATCCAGCTCGACCCCGAGGCCCTATAAACGGTATCTCGAGACCCTCGATCTCCAACTATTTGATTCGATTATCGTATTGCCTCTAAGCTATAATTATGATTTCTAGCCCTTTACTTAGCATCCATTGCTTTGCAACTAGCATAAAAATAGATCACGTATTTTTAGAACCTCATAATCAAATTTAATTGTTATTACCATTTTCACGGTAAACAGCAACCAACGAAAATCCATAATTCCTTTTCCAACTCTAAAATGGTTTTGGAGCTTGTTTGATCAAAAGATATTGAAACCTTTTTTATTAAATCTAGTAATGAAGATGAAGAGGTAAATCTCAGCCAAGTATAATTATGTCTAGATTAAGTTATGCAAGAGAGAAACAAGATGGATAATATACGCTGGCTCCAAATGATTGCTCACAGATAAGATGAACTAAAATGTCGAGAAATGGAGCAATGAACATGATTAATCAGAAGGAAGAAAGTGTTTATGATTCAGATATCTCTTTGATGAACCAAATTTTCTCTTTTTGTTTACTCTTTTTTTCTCCCCCTTTTTACAGAATGTTTCTTCCTCCTGTTTTATAGGGGACTGTCCCCCTTTTACCCTAAAAAGACACCACACAAGGAATATTCGAAAAGCATATTCCTACTGTTCCCTATCATGCTTACATTACTACAGATGTCATGCATATACTCACGTTGTTGGTCGTCGCCCTTCATGCCGACCAAAGGACGTTTCATCGTAAGGGCCTCGTTCTTTGCTACAGTCAGTAGTGGTCGTGATCATCCAAATTTGGACTTATACAGTTAGTCCCTCCGCTTGTCGAGGTCGGGTCCTGGTGCATCCTCAACAAGCGGACTCTGCCCGTACTTGTGAAGAAATTTGGTTTGCAAGCCACAACAGTTGGGCCGATGACGGAAGGGCGGGGCACTTCACGATATCTTGGTGGTGTGTTCTATTGGGAAATGACGTCATTTCCACATGCGTCATCATTGCGCGTCTTCCCGAGGTAGAGACTAATTGGCCTGTCGCTTCGATTTTGCTGCCCTGGGAAGATTTTTGCTTCAATTCTGGCGCCATCCAACCCTATAAATAGGGGAAGGGTTTGTTTTCTCAAAAATTCTTGGCCATTTCTCTTCTGATCACTCCCTTTCGTACTTTAGCTCTGCTTCTGTGATTCTCTTCACTTCTTCTTTCTCGTTCGTTGTCCTTGATCTTTTCTGTTTTATTGATACTTCTCTCGCCATAGACATGCCCAAAACACACCGACCTCGTGAGGAGATATCTGATGGCACCCCATTATCCGTGGCGCTTCCTACTAAAGGCGAAGACACGATGGCTGGGGAAGGGGACAGTTTCCCCACCATAGACAAGTTGTTATCGAGACATCCCATGTCTCGCAGTGATTTTCTTAAGGACCCAGCTCCTACTCCAACCCCAGTAATATCTGAAACCGGGCAGGCCCACATAGATGCCCTACGTACCAAATATAGCATTCCTCCCTATGTCGAGATGGTTCCGGCGGGGAGGGACCTTGTGGAGGTCCACAAGCCGGTGTACTGTACTTTTTATGAATACCCCTTCGTAATCGGTCATTCCTTCCCCCTTCTTCCGTTAGCAGAAGAATTCTGTCGATTTTACCAAGTTTTCCCGGCGCAGCTTTCTCCGTACACCTATAAAATATTTTTGGTGTTGACAAAGTACGCAGAGTTGGCGGAATGCGAGGTCGACATCCACTACCTCATCCACTTGTTTTCCCCTAGCTTTCACAAGGGTACCATGGTAAATTTAAGGCACCGTGAGACCAAAGGGTATGTGGTCAGAACTGACGACCGGGCGAGCCGTACGTTTTGGCACAAGTATTTCTTCGTCAGGACCGAACATATTGTGTCGAACCCGACTGGATTCCCGAAGCGGTGAAATGATAATCGTAAGTGTCGTAACTTATTAGATTTTTGAAATTAGTTCTCCTTGTTCAACTCAATATTTACTCACTGCTTCCCTTTGCAACTATGGGGCGTGCACCCCGTCCCATTGCCAGTATAAGGGACTGGGTAGCCCGTTTGTTGCACCATGCGGTGGAGACTCGAGACTGGCCAGCATTCGTAAAGCGTTTCAGGCCGAAAGTCTCATCTGGTAAGTGTCTTCTTCTATACCGCCCTTTGGCTACTCGCCCTTATTTATTGACGCGTCTTCCTTATGATGATAGGTCGTGGAGCCTCTAGACGAAGGGCTCCAGTTCCCGCCTTTCGCCAGGCCGTCAACCTCGGGTAGTATTTTCGCGCTGAAATCGGCGACGAAATCGGCGAGCACCTGCGACTTTATTGCAGTTTGCGATTGATATGTTATATCATGCTCGCTCAATTCTATGGCCCATTTGGCCAACCTACCCGATAGCTCGGGTTTGTGCAGGATGCTCCTAAGGGGGAAGGTCGTTACCACTTTTATGGGGTGGCATTGAAAATATGGTCTAAGCTTTCGTGAAGCTATGACTAATGCCAGATCCAATTTTTCGAGGTAGGGGTACCTTGTTTCGGCATCAACTAAAGTTTTGCTGATATAGTAAATTGAAGATTGCGTACCTTTGTTTTCGCGGACTAAAACTGCACTTACCGCGACTTCGGTGACCGCTAGGTAGACTAGGAGGCACTCGCCTGGGTCTGCTTTGGCGAGTAATGGCGGTGAGGACAGTATGCTTTCAGTTTTCTTAGGGCATCGGGGCACTCTGAATTCCACTGAAGTCCCTGATCCTTTCTTAATACATTAAAAAATTTGTGGCATCTGTCTGATGATCGTGAGATGAACCTCAACAGGGCGGCTATTCGTCCTGTTAATTTCTGTACCTGCTTTTTGCTAATTAATATTTCTGGTATTCCTTCGATGGCCTTGATCTAATTTGGTTTGACCTCGATGCCTCTTTGAGACACCAAGAAGCCGAGGAACTTACCCGAGGTTACGCCGAAGGCGCATTTTTTGGGATTTAATTTCATGTCGTACTGCCTCAGTATGTCGAAGGCCTTCTTCAGATGATCGATATGATCTTCTTTCCTTTTTGACTTCACTAGCATGTTGTCGATGTAGACTTCCATGGTCTTACTGAGTTGATCTTGAACATTTTGGTGACTAACCTTTGGTATGTTGCCCCCGCGTTCTTATGTCCGAACGACATGACTCTGTAGCAGTATGTTCCTCGGTGAGTGAGAAAAGTAGTCTTTTCTTGATCTTCTTCCGCCATTAGAATTTGGTTAACCAGAATAGGCGTCTAAGAAGCTTAGAACTCGTGCCGCGCTATTGCGTCGATGAGCTGGTCGATATGTGGTAATGGGAAGGAATCTTTTGGGCATGTCTTGTTTAGATCGGTAAAGTCAACGCACATCCGCCACTTTCCATTTTTCGTCTTCACCATGACCACATTGGCGACCCACTGAGGGTACTTTGATTCTCGGATAAAGCCATTAGCGAGTAGCTTATCGACCTCTTTGCTGACTGCATCGTTGGTTGCAGCGTTGAACTTTCTCCTCATTTGTCGTACAGGCGTGTAGAGTGGGTCAACATTCAGCTTGTGCGTGGCAACATCTCTTAGGATGCCCGGCATATCTGAGTGGGAGAAGGCAAACAAATCGGCGTTGTCAGTTAAGAATTTATGGAACTTACCTGGTTCCGGAAGATTGTGCCCAATATAAGCTTTTTTTGTGCTGTTGTTGCTGTCTAGTTGGACAGGATCGAGGTCCTCTACGGTTGCCTCGTAGGCTGCTATGACGTCGGGGTCTTTGATAGCCTCTATTTGTACGTTGGGTTTGGTTCCCGATATGGTTGATTGCTATGCCTTCGTACTTGCTCCTTTTAGTTGTTGTGTGTGTGCACAGTCCTGGGCGATACAATAGCATTCTTGTGCGGTGCGTGGTTCGCCCCGGATGCTGAATATTCCCCATGGAGTAGGAAATTTGATTGTTTGATAGAAGCTTGACGGGACGGCTCGCATGGCATGTATCCATGGGAGCCCTATGATAGCGTTGTAGGCTGTCTCTTGATTCATGACGTGGAACGTTGTTTCCAGAGTGACTCCTCCGGCCAAGACGGGCAGCACTATCTCTCCAGAGGTTCGTTCAACTGTATTATTAAAACCTCTTAGTGTTATGCACCGCGGTATTATCTTATCTTCGAGTCTCATCTGTACGAGGACCCAAGGATGGATGATACACGCATCGCTTCCGTCATCTACCATTATTCTTTTCACATCACTATCTGTGATACGTAAATTTATGACAAGAGCATCATAGTGAGGGAAAGACAAACCGTCAGCATCCGACTTATTGAAGACGATACTATCTTCGAGGTCATCATACTGTTCATGAGCGATTGACCATTTGAGTTTGTGCGTGGTGGTAAACTTTACGTGGTTTATTATCGTGTCATCGCCACCGCTGATGATCATCTGTATGGTACGGGCGGGTGAAGGTGGCTTAGGGGGTCCTTGGGGTTGATCGCGCCCTCGAGCGAAGTTAGCCCGTCCTCGGTCGCTCAACAGTTCTTTCAGGTGTCCCTGGTTTAGCATTCTTACTACTTCCTACCGCAGAACTATGCAGTCTTCGGTCAAATGCCCTCTTTCCTGATGTAATTCGCACAGAACGTTCGACTTCCGGGTGCTTCGGTCGGATTTCATATTTTGTGCCCATTGCACCTTTGAGCCGAGCTTCTCTAGTGCATACACTATTTCTGAAGGAGAAACACAAAAGTTATGAGCAGATAATAGTGGAGGCATACCTCTTTCGTTTCAGTGTGGTGCGACATGTCGAGGAGCAATGTCTGCATGTCGTGGAGGAGGTGGAATAGATGCCCGAATGTAAGACTGATGCCTTTCTCGACTGAGACGGGGTTATCACGACCCGGATTTCCCACCATCGGGATCGTGATGGCGCCTACTCGTGGTAGCTAGGCAAGCCAACTTATTTACCTTTCATTAATAAATAAATCTGTTAACAATCTATAGCACCAATAAGAAATATGGAATTTAATAATAATAATAGCGGAAGTCTAATTTATAAGTCTGAATCAAAACGCGGAATAGTCAACAATAGCCTCTACCCAAGATTTGGTGTCACGTTACTCACGAACCACTAAGAATAAACTAAATACAAAGGTCTGAAAGAAATATAACAGCTGTCTGTCTCGAAAATAATGAGGCAACAGTCAAAAGGAAAAACATAAAGAAGAGACGCCGGGCCTGCGGACGCCTGCAAGGCTACCTCAGTCTCGTGAATAGGAAAGTTTGCCCCCCCGAACTACTGCTGCTGCTGCTCCTCAAAACCTGGACCTGTGCAAAAATGCACAGAAGTGTAGCATCAGCACAACCGACCCCATGTGCTGGTAAGTGTCTAGCCTAACCCTGGCGAAGTAGTGACGAGGCTAGACTGGACATCACATAAACCTGTGCAGTTATAAATATACAGCGGGAATCGAATACCAAGTAATCAACAACATGGGAGGGAGACATGCTAAGGGGAGATACAATATTAACAGCAATCCAGAGTAACAACTAAAACAGCTTAGGTTCACAATGAACAAAGAACCAATACTCAAATACAAACACATAGCCTCAATAACTGTTGCGGCGTGCAACCCGCTCCATAATTACTATTGTTGCGGCGTGCAACCCGCTCCACAAATACCACTGTTGCGGCGTGCAACCCGACCCATATCATTTATCATGTGTCATTGTTGCGGCGCGCAACCCGATCCTCACCTTTTACTGTTGCGGCGTGCAACCCGATCCTCAATATCATTGTTGCGGCGCGCAACCCGATCCTCAGTATCATTTAACAGTCCGACTCCCCAAACAACAGTCATAATTAAGGGGCATAAAAATAAGTAAATATTTGACAAGCATCCCGGCAAGGGAAAGAATCCAACAAGTTCAACCAACGTCCCGGCAAGGGAATAACCAACACTACTTTCTCTTTCTTACTTTTCTTATCTTATAATTCACTCTACTATTTTGAGCCCACACTCCAAAGAATCAAGTCATTTCGTATAATTTCAATATTCGTATCACAATTCGAGCCTATGCTCCCATGAATCAAATGATCATATTATCGTTCGCATGTTATTCACAACATATAGAAATCTTCCAATAAACACGAAATTCACAACCAATTCATGATAATCACATTATAAGGACTCACGGTCATGCTAGACACCAATGTATAGATACTCGTCACCATGCCTATACACCGTACTCGATCACATAACATTTAGCAACAGGACTCAACTCCTATTCCCTCAAGCTAGGGTTAAACCAAACACTTACCTCAAAGCCTTGAAATCCACTTAATCCTCAACTATTGCTTTACCTCGCGGTTCCACCTCCAATTCGCTCGAATCTAATCACAAATTGCTCAATTACTTTAATAAACACTATATGAATCAATTTGAATGCATAAAAATGAATTTCCCAAGTGTTTTCCAAAAAAATTCCAAAAACGCCCCCGGGCCCACGTGGTCAAAACCCGAGGTTCGAACCAAAACCCGGTTACCCATTCCCCCACGAACTCAAATATGTAATTTGTTTTGAAATCGGACCCCAAATCGAGGTCCAAATCCCCAATTTTTAGAAAACCTAGGTTCTACCCAAAAACCCCAATTTCACCCATGAAAATCCTTGATTTCAAGTGGAAGACATGCTTAATGATGTTAAAAGTTGAAAGAATTGAGTAAAAATCAACTTACAAATGATTTGGGATGAAGTTTGCTCTTGAGAAATCGCCTATGGTGTTTGGGTTTTGAAAGAATGGTGAAAAGTGATGAAAATTCGACTAAGTATAAAATTTGCTGGGCCTCGGATATGGGAATATCGAGCCTTGGTTCGCATTTGCGAACAAGACAGGGCTGGGAATTGCGATCCTTGGTTCGCATTTGCGAACACTGGGCCTACAGGCGGGGTTTCGCATTTGCGAGAGAGGCATCGCATTTGCGAACCTCCCCCCTTGGCATTTGCGAGCCTACCCATCGCATTTGCGACAGTGCCCCATTTTCTCCAGACTTCGCAATTGCGAAGCAGTGCTCGCATTTGCGAGCTCGCAATTGCGAGTCTTCCCTTCGCATTTGCGAAAATTGCAGAAGCCAGCATACCAGATTTTTAAAACATGAGAAATGCAATCCGATGCCTATCCAAAACTCACCCGAGCCCTCGGGGCTCCAAACCAAACATGCACACAACCTCAAAAACATCCTACGGACTTACTCGTGCGATCACATCGCCAAAATAACATAGTATACTTAGAATCAAGCCTCAAAACTCATGATTTTCTTTGAAATGTTCATAAAGCCTCAAATTTCCACTTCGAGTCCGAAACACGTCAAACGACGTCCATTTTAAACCAAATTTTTACAGAAAGCGCTTAAACCATATATAAGACTTGTACCGAGCGTCGGAACCAAAATACGAGCCTGATACCACAGTCTTTTAATCAATTTTCGTTTCCAATTTCCTTAATAATTTCAGAATAACAATTTCACGGAAAAATTCATTTCTCGGGCTGTAGACCTCGGAATTCGACTCCGGGCATATGCCCGAGTCCCACATTTTTCTACGGACCCTCCGGGACCGTCAAATCACGGGTCCGGGTCCGTTTACCAGAAATGTTGACCGAAGTCAAATATATTCATATTAATATCAAATTTTAGCATTTTTCACACAGAATTTATATTTAAGCTTTCCGGCTACGCGCCCGGACTGCGCACGCAAATCGAGGCAATCCTAAATGAGGTTTTTCGAGGCCTCGGAAGCACGGAATTAATAAGAAAACAGGTGATGACCCCTTTGGGTCGTCACATTTTCGACCTCTAAAACAAACGTTCGTCCTCGAACGGACAAAAGAAAGAAGTACCTGAGTCGGGAAAAAGATGGGGATAACGGCTCCGCATATTAGACTCGGACTCCCAGGTCGATGCCTCAGGGGGCTGACCTTTCCATTGAACATGAACTGAAGGAAAACTCCAAGACCTCAACTGACGAACCTGCCGGTCTAGAATAGCTACCGGCTCCTCCTCATAAGATAAATCCTTGTCCAACTGGACAGTGCCGAAATCTAATACATGGGTAGGATCGCCGTGATACCTCATAGACACATGGAAAACTGGACGCACGGCTGATAAGCTAGGTGGCAATGCAAGTCTATAAGCCACCTCTCCCACTCAATCAAGAACCTCAAACGGGCCAATGTACCTAGGGCTAAGCTTGCCCTTCTTTCCAAATCTCATCACGCCCTTCATAGGCGACACCCGGAGCAATGCCCGCTCACCAACCATGAAAGCTACATCTCGAACCTTACGATCTGCATAGCTCTTTTGCCTAGACTGAGCTGAACGAAGTCTGTTCTGAATGACCTTGACCTTCTCCAAGGCCTGCTGAACTAAATCTGTATCTATCGACCGAGCCTCTCCCGGTTCGAACCATCCAATCGGAGACCGACACCGCCTACCATATAAGGCCTCATAAGGAGCCATCTGGATGCTCGACTGGTAGCTGTTATTATAGGCAAACTCCGCTAAAGGCAAGAACTGATCCCATGAACCTCCAAAGTCAACAACACAAGCCCGGAGCATATCCTCCAAAATCTAAATAGTCCGCTCGGACTGACCGTCCTTCTAGGGATGGAACGCTGTGCTCAACTCGACCCGTGTGCCCAACTCTCGCTGGACTGCTCTCCAGAAGCGCGAGGTAAACTGCGTACCCCGATCCGATATGATAGATGCCGGCACACCATGAAGGCGAACAATCTCCCGGATGTAAATCTCAGCTAGCCTCTCGGATGAGTAGGAGACTGCCACAGAAATGAAATGTGCTGACTTGGTCAGCCTATCAACAATAACCCATATCGCATCAAACTTCTTCCGAGTCAACGGAAGTCCAGTAACAAAATCCATGGTAATCCGCTCCCACTTCCACTCTGGAAGCTCAATACTCTGGTGTAGACCACCAGGCCTCTGATGCTCGTACTTAACCTGCTGACAATTCAAACAACGAGCTACATATGCCACGATATCCTTCTTCATCCTACGCCACCAGTAATGCTGCCGCAAGTCCTGATACATCTTCGCGGCGCCCGGATGAATAGAGTACCGGGAACTATGGGCCTCCTCTAAGATCAACTCTCGAAGCCCATCCACATTAGGCACACAAACTCGCCCCTGTAATGTCAAAACACCATCATCATCCAAGGTCACCTTCGTGGCACCTCCACGCTGCACCGTGTCTCTCAGGACACACAAATGGGGATCATCAAACTGCCGATCACGGATACGCTCCAATAGAGAAGAACGAGCGACCGTGCAAGCCAACACTTTGCTAGGCTCAGAAATATCTAATCTCACAAATCAATTGGCCAAAGCCTGAACATCTAAAGCAAGCGGTCCCTGGCTGACCGGGATATAAGC